GCCGATGGAAGATGGAGATGTAGATGAAGTATCTATTACCACCAATGAGCTGAAGACTGATCTGTTAGCATGCTCATTCGTTTGCACCACCATTCAATCAGAGTAAAATGGAAGGATCTCCGTGGCTTCGAATGCTTTTGAAAATCTGTTCAATGTTTGGGTTGAGGAATCAGTTTCTCTTTCAAGAAAAATGCACTTGTACCTTGCCTCTGGTCAGTGCCGTTGTACAACACGGAACATTTGTTGTAACGAAGGAGTAATAACAGCCGTTGAACTGCTTACAATTCAACCGTTGGCTTCGGCACATTATCGGGGTTAGATAGCAGGACTATTAAAGTTAGCCAGTTAGTTTGAATGACTGCTCATCCTTTCGAGTCGCGCAATCGGGCACGTCTGATGCGCCCGTAATGTTTCTGATTATGTACCAACGCTCAGCTCTATGAGTCATTTGCCCCGGGGTAGTTTTTGGCCGTCCCTGGTGTCTTTGGCCAGTCGGTAATGGTCGTTGTTCCGGCCTGTTCCCTGGAAGCATTAGCGAAGTGTGCTCAAAGCATTGCAGCCGGTATTTATTAATCTAGAGAAGTAGCGGCTGCAGGTTAACGCTTTCTCTGGGATAGCTGAACTTTGCACTATGTCGAGATACATGAGACCAACGATTGAATTCATTAGGCCCATTTCAACTGCTTGAATCAGGGATCGAAGTTTTCAGTCATAGTTCACGACTCATGAAAACGATAAGCATGAGGGTGAAGATCGACTTGAACGTCGATAGCTCAGTCTTCAGATTTAGCTCTGCTTTAGTCACAACGGTTTGGGCTAATTCACGCGGTACGCCACTGGCAATTCCAATCCGATAATCGGCCTTCTCCCTCGTTATCTTCTCCGCGTATTTTCAGAGCACAGCGAATAAGATCACAAAACAAATTACCCTATTCTCTTCCGCGCACAAGTGATTTCACTAGACATGAAGATTAAGAAAAGGAGACTGATTTTAATGGATTAATTGGTTGAGGAAAAACTTTTTCTGGCCTATGAACTTCCAAGTGTTGGAGTCAAAACATGGCAGATGTCGAAGCCATCGTTAGCATGCAACTGGTGGAAAGGCAAAGGCAGGTGTGCTTTCGGAGAGGAATACTTTTTTCTGTGCTGCCGTAACCTGTGACTTATAATAAACATGTTGTAAAGATATGTTAGAATGCAGCTGATACTAAAACTATAGACAAAATTTTGCTAACGCAAACGCTTCAAGGTAATGATCATAAAAACATTACAAACATACTAATTGGTTAGTTAAATCAATTAGGTTAGGCATAATAACTTTTGCAGTATCTACAAATACTTGAGATCATTTAATCAGCTATTTATCGGTAGTCGTCACTGTTACACAATATTGCGCAGACACTGTGATTTTCAGCATAAAAGTGGCTGACCAAAACCACAGTGGGCAAAATGTAACGCGATAACTTCTCTTACATTACTGATCTGCGATGGAGCCAAATGTTGTGTTCGCAGCCAAATTGTTTCAGTTGTGGCAGTATAAGGATTTCGACTGATTCTGTAAGCTTCGCGGCTTATAACTGATCCCCTCTCACGGAATAAGATTCTCCACCGTCGCCAAGAAGTCATTGCTCTTTTCATTTCGCCAAGCAATCAGGCAGCACACATTTCGGCATCAAAGCCAATAACCTTGCATTCTCGCAAGACTTTGTTGCACTGCGGCGAAAAAAGCATCGAAACATGCTTTTACTGAAAGAACTGCCTGTGCAAATGAGCATCGGCGAAACCTGTTCGGTGAGGCTGGCAAGGAAAGGAAGCAACGCATTCGTCTGCGCTTTGCACGCGAAATTCTTTGGAAATAATTGTCACTGAGTGACTTTTCGCAATTATTACGACCTGAAGTGTTGAAACTCGGATGAGGCGGTGTGCAAAACGAATCAATCGTTTGATTGCTATTATAAAAACCGTTCTTTGCTTGCTGGATCGCTTCCACCTAGAGGTACTACAGAAGAATGTGAGTCTTGAATAAGCGAATCCAGTAACAATAGAATGCGCTAGATTTTCCTAGTTGGTCAGTACGAACTATTTTTCGTTTGATTAAGTGAACATCTACCAGCATAATCACAGCACGTTGTTGTCACAGGCAAAGCGCAAAAATACATGGAAACAACCTAGGGGTAATCCAGGACTCATTACTGCCACTTCTGTTTTTCAGCCTGTGCATATGAATACCTATTGCACAGAATAGTCGCTGTCTATAGCCATTGCTTCTTCTGATTGATAAGTCACAGCTGCGTGGTCTGGTCATGTGTTGCGAATGCCTCTTGAAAGGTAGGCTAAGCAACTATTACTTGCCGAACTGACCGGCACAAGGCCCAAGGGACGGCCAAGATTAACCTAGTGCAAATATATGGAAGGAGTCTGCCCTTGATTCCGGTTATCTTCTACCAAAACTCTAACTCGCACAGTTTGAAAGTTTTGGACGCATTGTATGACGTATCTGCCTCTATACGACCCGAAAGGCGAAGCGGTCATGGAAGATAAAGAAGAGAATTTTTTCTACTCTTCAAATCTGATCCTGCTGCCTTCGAAGATCGAAGTTCTCCTTTTTGTCCTTATCTGTAATTATCACTCCAAAGTAATATAATGTAGTATAAATAGTAACAGAAAACACAAAATGAAAAACGTTCAATTTTACCGTCAAATTATGCAGGGATGAGTGAACGGTGGCTTCTTTTCCTCGCCATAAATCATGATTGTACTGTACCACGGCGCACCTAAATGCTGAAAGTTCTTGAAGCATATGAATACAAGTACGCTGCACGTTCGTGTTCAACAGTAATTGAGGCGAGACTGAGGAAGGTACTTGTATACACCTCGTGGGTTGTCTGTCTTACGGGAGAACGATGTTACGTGGCACGTAAAGTAAAATTTTTATAATTCGAAATTTCTTCCATAGCCCTCTCAGAATAATTTACGCAAGTTTGAATTTACGTAAGTGGAGGTCTGTCTGTACCAGTTTTCGCTGACTTCTATAAATTAACATTTCATCTGGTTGAACAAATACTTGAGAACATCGTTCTTTCTGGAGCAGGTCAGTCATAAGCAGATATTTTGTAGCGTTGCAAGAATATCTTTCTTGCGCAGTGTTTTACCATAGTACAGGCGATCTACTCCACACAGTGTTTGAGGTTTCTAGAAGTGTTTAAATATCGCTCAAAATATTCAGTTTTTCCTTCAACATCAAAAGTCTCGTTTACCAAATCGGAAGATATCAAACTTGCGTGTGCCTTGACAAAGCGCTTCCACCTAGCAGCCATTCAAGCATATGTTAAAAGCAACTCGGCTGATCGTTGATTGCACTATGTCGGTCCATGCATGTTGCCAGATTATTTCTGTTTGATCTTTTTCCTCGTTATATTCTTATTCATTCACTGTTTACTGCTTGACTGTATCTGCTATAACCTCAGCTTAAATTTAAAAATGACGAATTTGTTTCTGGTAATAAATGAACCGTTTGACGGCTTTGCTGAAAATAAAATGCATTCAGATTTGAGACTAGCAAGTGGCCAACTGTGAAGGATATACAACAGAAACCGTTTGCCTCAGTTTCAGTTACAATTTCGGAGAGCGACACGTTCAGTACTCAGTGCTTATTTCAGTAACTGTCACTGCTATTCATGCAGTTTATTCTGTTTCACCTTTGGACTGAGAGTGGTCAGTCTATGCCAATAGTGATGATGACGAACGATGACATGTTAAAGCGAAAGTACATGGACTTGTTTCGTTACTAACGAACAGAATGACAGTCCTAAACAGACGAGACGAGTTAATTAACGATGCATATGGAGATCCATCGGTCCCAGGACGCGACGTCCACGGCCGATGATTCGGACCATTTCGAAAGTACGCGTCGTTTGTCTTTTTCGAGCCTGCGTCGCATGGTGGCAATGCACTTATGTATCTCTTGGCCGCCTCTTAAGGCAACCGGCCGAGAGGTCATGCGATGACGAAATTTCACTGAACACGCTTTTTATGCGTTGGTACAGTTTGAAGTTTCTTTTAGACCAAGGACGTATCAGCGACCGATGCGCTGACCTACAGACTTTGCGCTTGGCACCGTATGTTGCTACGGCTGAGAGCGACTCATTGGTGTGAACGGCTCATTGGTAAAAAACGCCGCGATATTACGTAGTAAAGGAAAGAGAAACGCACAACGCATGTTCGGTGACCTCTGGCACCAGAAGAAAAAGCGTTAACCATAAAAGAATGCAACTTCGCTGTCGTCGGCACTTCGCGTTGTCAATGTAGCCATGGAAGGCGATATCAGGATCAACGCTTTCAAGTTTGTCGCATATTCGGCAGTGGCTTTCAGCATTGTTTCCGTGTTAAGCGTTTGTGTCAGTTTGCCTGTCGTCTATAACTATGTGCGCCATGTTCGGCAGCAAATGAACAGCGAACTGAGGTTCTGCAAAGTACGTTGTTATTTCGACTGGCCGACGTTTGCCGTCGACCTCGCCGCCGTTCGTTGTTTGTGCATTTTCGACTGTGCAGGGCTCAGCCGACGACATCCTGCACGAACTGAAGGTGTTGAGGAAGCCAAGTGGCGGGACAGCGCGCAACCGAACTCGAAGATCGTCCAGTCTCGATCGCGTTTTTCACGATCAACTCAGTAATGGCACAGACAGAGAATTTCAGAAAACCTGCGAAGGTTGCTTGTTTCGACTTTGTAGAAATTTATCACATGCCTCATTTCAAGGTTGCTGCTTGCCAGGCCCTGCCGGACCTCCTGGGCCTCCTGGCAAGCCTGGGAAACCTGGCCGGCCGGGAATACCAGGATTACCTGGTCCTCCTGGAGTAACTCCGATTGCTCCGTGCGAAACAGTGACGCCTCCACCTTGCAAGCCATGCCCAGCCGGCCCACCAGGTCCGCGTGGACCACCGGGGCCGCCAGGTAAGTTTCAGTGAATTTTCATTCGGATGCACTTGCACACATATATATATATCTCAAACTACAGTGACCATCCTCTGGGTAAACAGTTGAGTACGATTTTAAAATTTCGTGCACCAAGAAGCATTACCGTAAATCTAAAGTTTTAGCCGTAACCCATTAACATCATTGTAATGTCCCAGTTATTTGCCGTTCATTGACATGCTATCGATTTCTAAATGACTGAATAAGCATGTAGTGAATTGAATTCTTTGCTCAAGCGAAAATGTCGTTTTTCTAACGGATTTTCTTCGCAACCGACACCATTTCTCAAGTTCTGGCTACCATTACCTCACCACTTGACTGCTTTCATGCTTACTGAGGTCTTTCATTGCTACCGCAGAGGTTGAAGAGGGTAAATTCAGCAGTACTACAATCTTGTACAAGTGATTTTTACTTGGTCATTACCCTATCTCACTCATGCCGATGTGCACGGAGGCTTTTCTCACGAGTGTTTCACCACACTGCCTGTGAAATAGGCAGAAAGACTTTCTAGCTTCTTAGATGTTACCGATTGAGGCCATTTCGTTCAATTAAACTTCATATTATCGCTTTCTTCTAAGATAGAAAATTTTCGCTAATGCACACCATTGTCTATCTCATACAATGCTAACATTAACGGTAACGGACATTTCGGTTCACTTCCTGATATATCAGCATCTATATTATGTCAGATATGCATATTAATTAATTAGGTAAATTTGTTTGAACGCGCGAATGCCTTTCCAACTGTTTGTTGTCAACTCACTGGACTTTACAGCGCATTTTTATTAATAAAATAGAACCTTTTTTGCGTTCAGGCAAAAATTATGATTTCTATGAAAAGCACATAAGTTTTAAATCAAAGGCAGACGGTAACATTGCCAAGCTTATTTTAATCTTGCTGAAACTGCTCAAGCTTGACAGTTACAGCGGCAAGGCAGTTTCGACTGTGAAACAGAAAATTTTCATGTTTTCATACGATCTCATGATGCACAAAGCACAGTTGATTACGCGATGCTTCGAATGTCCACGGATCAATGGGACAGTGCTTCATAACAATTTAAGATCGATTGGCTCTGCCATATCGTAGAACTCTGATGGATAATTAATCTACGAGCTGAGCATCGTTCATTTAATGTATTTAGAGGTGAAAAGCAATCAGAGACGGCGCATAGAAGCAGAATATGACATCCTTTCCGCAGCGGTCTATGACGTTTCGGAGCAGCCAATTGGGCACAGGCCACTGGTTGGTGTTCTGTCAACGCTTGGTCCAACGGTCGTCGCATTCAATCTGCGTAGTTTGACAGCGGTCAGTTGCGTCAACTGCGTGATTCAGCGCATCATATTATGTATTAGTACGTAGATCTCTGTGGCCAAAGTCGATGCCGTTGTCAAACTGTGAATTTCGATGACTTTCATTTTATTATATGATTCCATCGTGGAGACTGCGCCTTATCGCAAGTTAGCGCGCAGTTACTTGATCGGGTGTCGGAATTTATATAATTGCATGTGGTCATCCATAACAATCACTCGGTTTAATCCCCACGTTATAAATCACTCGTAACCTCTCCGTGGCCACAATATGAAACTTTCATCATAACTATCAGTTTAAAAATTAGCATCTTCGTTCGACTATTTCAAACAGACAAACGCCCCCTGCCCCTCTCAGCCCCTTCTGAGTTTGAAAGAAAAGCAGCCTAAAAGTTCTGTCGGACAAGCCTTGGTGCTCTATTACCAAGGATGACGATAAAGAGTGTGCCTTGAGGAACTTCGTAGCCCTGAAAAGCGCAGGGGACTCGAATAATTGTATCAGAGAGCTAATATTTATCTCTTGGTAAATGATTACGCGAAAGCT